AGCCGAGGTCGATGGGATTTTTCTGAAGCATAAAAATCTCTGGTCACGTCTTCCTTCGGAAGGGAAGTAAAGCCGTTGGTCCCGGCCCATGTGTGTTGAATGGGTACGATATCCTACGCAGGTGTGGAAGCTGCCTTGCTGCACATTCGATTTCCATCAATGGATGGAAATCGATGTCCGTCGGTGATTGGCACTAGATTGCGGAACAGAGACCGACGTTAAATGAAGGAAAGAAGAAAGAAGAAAGAAAGAGCATTGCGGGTGCTTCCCGGGATGTCGTAGCGGGTTCTTAGTGCTTCGTATTTCGAACAGTGGCAGATATTGTGTTTCCACTGTTTATGGAATTCGACATAGATCGCAGATCCTATGGAATGGTCCGTCTCCCTTGTAGTTGTGGGAGATATTTGTATGATGTTTTCGAAGTTGGGGATACTATGACCAGATCTCGATGTAACGGTGGGCCGTCCCACCTGGTGATGTCTCCTTTAATTTTCCTTATGGCAGGGGTATCTCTGGCCACCCAATAGTGAGCCCATCCTTCGTTGGTTACTTTCGATTTCGGTCCGGACCAGGTACAAGTCGCATGTACTTGGCCATGCAACAACCTGAGTTGGCTAGATGATCTACTTCTACGTTACCTTGGACCCCGCAGTGTCCAGGTTACCACACAAAGACTGTGTTGTATGTGCGTATTCCTGTATCGCCCGGTTCCACGGGTGTTTGCTCGTATCGGATTCTAGCGCGGCTACCACACTAGCGGAGTCGATGAAGATGGCTATTGGTCGGTCGTGGGGAATGGTGGCTGCAATAAAGGCTTCCGCAGAGAAAATGGAGCACTGATCCGGGAGTCTATGGCATTCCGCGAGGTTTGGGCTGAAAATCTCGATTCCTACCTTTCTCTGGGCTACCGAAGCATCCGAGTACCGAATGGTGTATCCTCCGTATTTCTTGTTCTGAAGTTCGAGTACCGCCTGTGCCTAAATTTGTGTTTGATTGTGAGGTCGGTCAGAATCTGTGGCTAGTTCCTATCCCTTGCTCCGACCCAGTGAACCTTGGATACTGGGGGGGAGAGTCAGCTTGGATGCTTACCTGAGTGAATTGTTGGCCTCCGTGAGGAGGGAATCTTCCTCGCGAGGGGCACGCACTAGTCTTTCAATACTACGCAGTCTACTGACCAAATATTCAAAATCTTGTCATTACTGCTTTAATTACTTTATATACACTCTTAATTTAATTTAAAATTTTAAATACTGACAATATTTGATATTTAAATTATTTTCAAAACATTCAAAATATTTGCCATTACATTAATGATCGTTAATTATATGTTGATTACTTTCAATACCGCTAAAAGTATTTAACATCAAATGATTACTGTCCTCAAAGTATTTAAATTACTGCGATGTATTTTAATTATCACGCACTCATACCTGATAGTGCGCGCCCCTCGCTTCCTCGTCTTCGCCTGATGTCTTCTCGTAAAGCCCGATGGCTCGTTGGCAGATAATTTTGGAGATGAAGCGATCAAAGTGGAGCAGTCTTCCTTCGATGCAAACAGCTATTCCGGGGGTACCTGGCAAAAGAGCCGAATAGACTCGTACAGTCCGTTCATAGACCAGCGCTAGCTTTTCGATCAATCGGGGTTTGGCGAGGAACGTAGCTTCGATTCCGTAGGTTAGGCGTGAGTTGATGATGGCTTTCACTACGTTCAGTCGGGATGTTCGGTTGGCATTTGGATGTCGTCCCGCCAGAGTTTTGCGCAGGTTGATTTGCAGTTTGCATCCGGTCCTGACATCGTTGAAGTGTGTGTCGAAGGTAAGATGCAGACCCCGAGGATTCAGATCGTCTTCCGAAACGGAGTTGGATCTGATGCAGACTTTTGTGCTGACGAATTGGTGTTTAATCGGACAGATGTGGGTGAATCCGCTCTTAGTAGCGGACAGCTGGAAGCCAGCCGACAGCCATTAGGAGGAGAATGAAGATTCCAACTGCGATCACGGACCCCTATGGTACCCCAGTTTCTTCCTCGAATGTCTTCGATCGGTAGTTTCCAAGCGTGACTTAAAAGGTACGGTTTCACAAAAAGTTCTGGATAAATTTTAGGATGTGTCCCTTGAGTCTCTATTTCTTTACGTGGTCAACTACTCCCGGCCTCCATGCCTGATTGTAGACTTTGGATGGATCGAGAGTAACCAGTTCTGTGTGAAGGTTTTTGGAAAATGCATCCCCAAGGGCATCGCTTAGGGATGGGAAGTAGGTGTTGGTTCCGTGCCCCGGTCTGAATGCGTGTTGGTGGTGGTCTAGTACCTAGATTGCCTTCTTACAGGAAACTAAGTAGTCTCCTGTTCACCATCCTCTCTATTATCTTCGATGCGCAGCATTTTAGCGAAATAGGCCGGTACTTGTCGACTTCGTGTCCCACATAGTTTGGTTTGAGGATTGGGATGGTGAGACTGAGCCCCGATTGGTCCAGGAAGGTATCTTGTGTCCATTATTGTGGCCTGTTCTCCCATGGGGAGATTTCGAACGAGAGGGAACCCACCTTGTCCGGTCCGTCTGAGCCTCCACTGGCCTTTGACAAGGCGAGGGAAAACTACACCAATTCTAATGGTCGGTTGAATTATCGAACAATTTTGTTCTTCTCGTAATTGTTGGCAATTACTCCAACAACCGCGCTGTCAGTTGATAGTTTGCTTCACTCCCTTGGAATTCATCATCAGAAAGTGGTTTGGTGTCAAGGCTTCCTCTGTTTTGGTGTTGAGCGAAACGAAGGTTAACGGTCGAGAATTCACCATTTGTTCAGCCTGCTTGACAGAACGCACCATTCTCTCCCAGCAGCCTTTATTGGGTGGAGCTGATGGAGGATTGAATCTCCACTGAGTGTGGGCGTCTTTGGACGTACTGCTTACCATCCTGATCGATCCTCCGACGAAATTCGTCCCATTATCGGTAAAAATTTCCAAAGGTGCTCCTCTGCGCGCAACGAATCGTGAGATTGCCTTCTTACTCGAATCCGTGGACAAGGTAGCGACGGCCTCCAAATGGATGGCTCGGTTAGTTGAACAAGTGTACAGCGCAACCCATGCCAAACTTCACCTGGTAAGGACTGAAGTAATCTATGTCCACATAAGTAAATGGGCGGATGAACGGTGTGAGTCTTTGCACCGGAAGTGATCCCATCCGTGGACCTACGGGAATTGGTTTGTAGACACAGCACCAGTTACAGTTCCTCTTGACGAAGCATAACCGTCCTCTTAGCTTAGCATGTTTGTACCCCTCGAAACAAAGGAATATCCACGAACCCTTTATTTTATCTGTCAAACTTTCATAGCGAATCGAAACAAGCATAGTGTAGTACTAGAATTTTGACTAGAATGGGGTACGCTTATAGATGTACTTGGGACCAATAGGCTAGTTCAATGTGAGCCAATTTAAAATCGTTAGTTTCCACTGGTTGGTATAAGGTTAGCTCTTGTTGTATAAACGCATTAACCCGAAGTTCAGCCGTCTTGATGCTGCCTTATCATTCAATTATAAATAACCTCTTTCGATCCGGTAGTACTTGCAAAATGACGCACCATTTCAATATTTTAAGTCGATTTACTCTTTCCAGTTGCAAGCCGCCAAGTGCATAAGAGTCGTGCTCGATTGAAGAAATTTCAAGTAATAATTTATTCTAAATTATAGGGCTACGGGATGTGAACTGGGCCTATTCCTTAAATAGGCCTATCAAGCAAATAAATCCTTTTCAGCAATACATCCAAATTTTAATGAACCATAGAGTTCACTACTCATTTAAAACTAATAAGATTAATTGAGTGCATTTTCTGTTGCGGCGCCATCTTCTCTCGCTGTTCTGCGTTCGCAAGTTGTTCGGAACGCTTTTTGCTCAATTTTCCTAAATGCAATTTTTGCCGAAATAAAGAGAATAGTGTTGTGAAAACAAAACCACCAGCATTCTCAATTTAAGGACTATTTTCAAGAGGTAGAAGATACATCAATTGTAGGGCCTAAGATGGGGACAGTAGCCCGATGTTATATCCAACCAGTGTCTACAAACACTAATGCAGCGTGTGAATTCACAGGAACTCGACAGTTCAGCATTTTTATACAATGCATATATTCGTCGCCCACTGGTCACCACAGCCGGTCGAACTTGGAACGCGTTGACAGTGAAATCTTGTCTGCAGGTCAATCATTTGTTGAGATATGATTGAAATCGTAATTGATAGCTGCTTATTAGACCCGGGCTAGGGACATGTACCCTATTTGTTTATTATTTGCACATTATTCATAACAGTGCAGTTCATCACATTCAATTGCAACAGCAGATCGTGCATCGTTTATAGATTACGCTGCCCTTTAAGGAATTGTAATGATAATTTCTTCCTCTTGACTTTGGTGCCGCCACTCTGGAACTTATAGACGTTATATGCCTGTATGATTTTAGCAATCGTAGCTTGGCTAACAACAGCGGCCCTGCCTGTAATGGTAGCACGATCCATGATAATTTATTTAATACAGTTCTAGTTATATGATCAAGTACTCATACGATTTGCTTTTGACAATCAACGTCTGTTGTTGATTTTCGCAGCGGCAGATCGCATTCTCCTTTGTGTATGTATGTACGTCAAGCGCCATAAGATAAGATCTTCACTTGTGTTCACTCGATTGTCCGGAGTCGTCATCGTCGTCATAATGTATGGGTTAATCCAGCTGGGAATTAGAATAATCCTCAGGTCGCGATCACTAAATTGTTGCTATTCCTCCGAAAAAAAAAATGTTCACGCAGGGAGTGCCAATATTCCGATAGGAACATTTGTTTTGTCGTTTCTCTTAAGATATATACTGGTTTGTATTTTTAGAGCGGCCATAAATTTCCTCTCTTTGTTGCTTTCATGGGTTGAGGAACTCAAAACTTGTTTCGCCAGTCTTAGTGGCTATCGCACGCACAAACACTTCTTCTGAAACACATAGGATTTTGTTTTGCTAGCCTTTACCTTCTTTTGCGACTTCCTTTTTGCGTTGAGAATTTCTTGAGAAAACCTCAAAATGTTTCATAACAAACCACCACCTACACGCGTCTGTTGCAAACGTTTATTGCATTATTTTTTCGGCCTTCGATGGCGTTCCAATCGTTCTCAACGCGCAAAACACTAATCACAGTAATGTAGTTTGTTGTTCAGAGTATTGATCTAAGCTGTCACTGATTATCGCCGCAAGGTTTAATGGTTTGACCGATCGACCAAGCGACACAACACGTCGTCGCGATCGTGCTATTTTCGTTCAGCTCCCGACGTCAACTGAACGAGCTGCTACTCTGCTACCAACTGACTGTGGCGAGCGCGAATCTTCGTGCCGATCGGGCCTGTCCGTGCTGACTAGACTGGCCCACAAAAACAAAAGTTATAATTTTCCACGGGCCTAACTCCAGATTTGTGCCTTTAGATGAGAAAACCATTCTCTGAAAGTTTTAGCTCATTTAGTTGTAGGATGAGCTGGCGCTTTTAATTTGAATTTGTATGGGGAATTTGGATAAAATGCATGAAAAAATGACACTCCTATACTCTTTCGTTCATAACAAAAGTTTCCAAATTCTCGATTTGATTAAGATTTTCAAAACTTGCTGAAGATTGCATAATAAATACAGTTAGTTTTATTGAGATGTTCGCTTTTGAATATATATCAGCATTTTGTACATGAAATTTCAACCAAATTTTCTATATGGACATTAAACCAAAAGCGCCAGCCCGTTTAACGTCAAAAAGAGCTGAAACATTAAGATAGTGGTTATCGCACCAAAAGACATCCAGGCTCGTGTTGGTCTGCGGAAAATATGAACTTTTATTTTAAGTGGTAATCTTCCCTAATAAAAATTGTATGGTTAATTTGCTTAACGACGTGTTCTGGGTATCATACAAACCATTTGTGGAATAGTTCAATGATTTGGGTTATCGTTCGTTTATGGTTATTTTTTATTAGGGTTATCAACAAACTGCCTATATTTTGTTGCAATATACGAGCAAATTGCACATATAAGTAAAATAGTTAATATCTCAATAATACTAACTTCAATGGCGATGCTGTCTTGAGTAAAGTTATTCCTTATAGTTTGAGCTACGTTTGCTAAAATTCTGAACTTAATCGAGTTTGCTGAACCAGTTATATACACGAAAGAGTGAAGGAATTTTATTTCTCCATACATTTCAACCAATCACCCCTATTCTGCATTTCGTTTCGAACGAAATTCTCATACAAAAAAATATTTTTTTGTATGAGAATTTCGTTCGAAACGAAATACAGAATAGGGGTGAATATCTCCATATAAATTTTTAACCAAATGCGCCAGCTCGTGTTACATCCAAATGAGCTGAAATTTTCAGAGTGTTTTTCTCACAAATCTAGGGATTGGCCAGTTGAAAAAAATGATACAAAATTTCCCCCATATAAATGTGGACCAGTCTAGGTGCTGACTGACGACGACGCTAAACAGAAGCTGGTCAACCTGTCTCGCCGGTTTAAGTTCCTACAAATCTGGAAACCCCCGAAAAAGTGTGTAGACGAAAAGAAAGATCCAATTGATTGGAAATATGGTTTTTGTTTTGATACTGGCCATTTTATAACAATCTTTAAGAAGGAGTCAAAAATCTTCCAATCAGCCGATTTTGCGTGTTTGTTGAACATCAATCACGGTGTTTATGTTATCGTCGTGTCAAAGAAAGTGATTAAATCGATTAACAATGTAATTATTGACATGACCCTTGATTAAAAACCGACCACAAATTTCATTCGCGTTTAGAAATTGATTAGATTTACCTCGAAAATCGAAAAGATATCACTTACCGCACAGTTCTCTAGGCACACTAACTCGAACGTCTGATCCGTAAAAGTTTGTTTTGCCTTTCGTGTCCCTTCGCAACAAGGCAACCTACATACATTATGTGCAAAATGCATACCGACTGAGAAATGACGTCATGTCATGCCCATCATCGTTGGCTCGTCGTTTCGTGCAAACATCGCCGACTGGCATGCAACTCCAAACGCTGCGTGCAGCTTCAAGGTGGCACTACTGAGACATATTGTTGTATGGATTGAGTCTTTGATGATGAAACTAGAGGGATCATTGCCTGGTTTTGGAAATTTTCCGTTAGAGGGACTTAGAGGATTTTTGCACGACCAAATAAACCAACTCAAGTTTGAGTTTCGTTCAGTCATATTAGCATGAACGTACACGCAGAAAAAATACTACCCAAAATTTGAGTTCTTTTTATTTAATATTGAGTTCAGCCTCTCACTTGCATTCCTTATTGTTGTCAAAAAAGGAACGAGAGATTCGACCCAACGATATAGTTCAGTCCAATAAGTAACTCTTGAGTAAAGTCGAATTCTGGCAAAGTTGCCAGTCTTCTTGATTTGTTGTCTTTGGTGAAGTGCATATTTTAAAATTTACGTGAATTAAACTTGATTTTTTCGGCAACACTGCTTGTTGATTTGTCCACGGTTTTTTATTGTGATTATTTGTGTTAGATTTTTATACTACGTGTTGCTTTTTAATTAGTTTTTCGTTGCTCATCTGTTTATTCATCTCATCGTTCTCTCCCCGTCGGCGAAGTACAGTGCATATACATTCCGATAAGCGCGTCGTGAGTGTTGTGAATTTTGCTTTGAATTGACAACATTTGGCTTGTACCCAGCGATGCCAGATATACCGGTTTATCGGTATTTATACCGATTTTTATACTCAATACTGATAAACATATAAAGCCTTTGATAATACAGATTTTTAATTTTGCATACCGATAAATACCGATTTTTAAGATTCCGATCTTAAACATGATATTTGGTTCATTAATAATTAGAGTGCATCTTTTTGAAACGCTCTTATCTTGCGTCGTCCCTTGTGTGCGCTGCACTCATCTCTGTTCCTCCCTGCGCATTTTATTTTTTGTTTCTGTTTGTTTCTTTCGCAAAACGTCCAGATTAGATCAGACACAAGCCAATTTATAACTTATGCATGCGGGTTCATGGCTTAGCTAAATATTTCCCGCGAACACGGAGCCAGATGTCAGTAGTGTGCTTTGGTTAGAAAATTTATTGTTTTTGCTATGGTCATTCATGTCGGTTTGTCGGTGGATATATAACAAGTTATTACATTTCACCGTTTCGAACGAACTGTCGCACTTTACTTGTGATCGATGCCATCATGATGTGCACAGTCGCTGGTGACACTGTACCGGCGAACTTATTCCACTTTAAACGCATTTGTTATGCATTTGTCACTTCTTTACCGCATCCTCGAAGTTTTCGCTTGACAATTGCCCAATATCGTAGGATTAATCACTTTGGCGACGAAATTAACATTGTTTGCAGCATACCATTCTAGTACCTCCTTAGAGTAGTGGCAGCTGGCTAGATCCGGCCAAAACATAATACCTTGTACAGACATACAAAGTACACTGTTGTACCATAGAGGTAACTATAAGACCAGAAGGTCCCGAAGAAATGTGCTCAACTTTTTGGCTCAGCTCTGGTACTATCTTCGGTCCCAAGCAATCGATTTACGCCTCGAAACATAGGAAATTCCACTAACCCCTCCTTTTATCTGTCAAACTTTTATAGCGAATCAAAACAACCATTGTATAGTACTAGAATTTTGACTAGAATGGGGTACGTTAATCGATTTGCTTGGGACCAATAGGCTAATCAAGTAGTGAGCCAATTTCAAATCGATAGTTTCGTAGATAGTTGGTTGTACCAACAATCAATACGAAACTAACGATTTTAAATTGGCTCACCACTTTAGTAGCCTATTGGTCCCAAGCAAACGTACCCTATTCTAGTTGAAATTCTATTACTACACTATGTTTGTTTTGATTCGCTATTAAAGTTTGACAGATAACATCAAGGGTGTGTGGATTCATGCAGAACATGCAGGGGTGAATGAAATAGCTTGGGACTGCTTGGGACCGTTGTTCTGGTACTGAGTGAGCCAAAAATAATAATGATTTTCTTCGGGACCCAGTGGTCTTAGAGTTACCTCTATGGTTGTACCATAGAGGTAACTCTAAGACCAGAAGGTCCCGAAGAAACGAGCTCAACTTTTTGGCTCAGCTCTGGTACTATCTTCGGTCCCAAGCTAATCGATGCACCTCTCGAAACATAGGAAAATCCACGAATCCCTCATTTTATCTGTCAAACTTTCATAGCGAACAAACATAGTGTAGTACTGGAATTTATACTAGAATGGGGTACGTTAATCGATTTGCTTGGGACCAATAGGCTAGTCAAGTAGTGAGCCAATTTGAAATCGTTAGTTTCGAATTGATTGTTGGTTGTACCACAAACGAAGTGACAGACGACTAACTGGCGAAGAATTCCATTTAAATAATGTGGTTCACTGTAATAGAATTTTCTTGGAAGCTTGTGCCATCATCCACCAGATGGGTTAGTTTTTTGTTGTGATTTGAACAAAGTTGATTTTGTGTACAATGATTCTTTGACAGTGTGCAAAGAGTGCGTATCATTTTGTCATTTTTTTTATGCATTTCAGTTTCGAGTAGAGTGAAAGAGATAGAACCAAAACATTCTAGTACATTTGGTGAAAATGCTAGTTCAATCTAGTAGTAGTGTTGCCATGTGGTACAATCCAGTAGTAGTGGTGTTGCCATGTGGTACACTAAAAAATTGCAATATCAGGTTAGTCACCTAGGGGCGACCCCGGCGTAATGGTTAGCATTCATACCTCTCACGCCAAAGTCACGAGTTCAAATCTCACCCCGGACAAATCACGAATGACCCAAAAGCGTTAAAGTGACTATAATTAAAAAAAACTATATACATATACCTGGAAGGGACATCCCCACGACCAGTTGCCAGGTAAAATTTTCGTCCGGGGATTTGTTTATAATCCATTTTGACACATGTTTCGTTATCCATTAAAATACAGCCATCAAATTTCGTCAAAACTCGTTCGTATAGTAATCGTGCTCGCTTTTTGGTCACTAAATTTTGTTTCAGGGAGCGATTCGGATCGGTTCACTGGCACAAAAAGACTTATATCCTTCTCTTGAAATGATGTTACGCACGGTGGAAAAGTTGGAATCGCATTTCTTTGCCAAATCACGTATGGAGACACCTGGGTTGCTTTTCACGTACCTCAACACCTTTCTCCTCAGCTCTTTGTCCCTAGTGCCACTTTTATGATAGATGCGCTGTGCTCTATCCACACTCAGAGTATTCTTGTAACGTTTGATTACCTTTGCCTTTGGGAATTTTAACACTTTTGCTATTTTTGACGCAGACCACGAAGGGT